AATCCAGAGGAGCTGTAATAATAGACATATGGAGATGAAACTGCTCAGCCTGTAAACATGAACATTGTGTTGTGCAGAAATGGGGGTGTTAATGATGTCCTGTTGGTATATCTAGTATTGTGGAGACTGGGGTAGTGGCAAGGACAGAACCAAGTGTGGCATTAGCTAGGAAGGGGAGGAGAGGGCCCCTTCTGAGTTTGGATGTCATCTTCACTGGGAAACTCCAGGCATCCCCATGTAATTTTCTAATAATGAGAAACTAAGAGGGCTCTGAAAACTTTCCACCTAATCTGTCCCTCCAGCTTCTTTTAATCAATAGACCAATCTTGGTGGCTTGCATTGAAGACTTCACGTTTTTTGTATTGGATTTTGTTTTGTATCAAAGTTCTCTTTGTTAATTAAGTGACTCCTACAGTGCCCTCTTCTTTCTTTTCCTTCCTCTTCTCCTCCCCCTCCCTCTTCCTTTCTCTCTTCTCTTCCCCAAACCCCTCCTCTGGAATCTACAATTGTCCTGATCTGGCTTAGCTGTAAAAACCAGAGCTATGGGAAAGGAGGAAACAAGAATTTAGTTGGACGAGATTGAATTGGCAGGGAGAGCTTTGGCATTAAATTCTGGTAGACAAGGCAAGGAAGAAATAGCTTGACACAATTCGTTCAGGAATGTAGAGTAGAGTCTAGAAAAATCAGGAGCAATAAGAGTCAAGGATCACTGCCAGGATTCTGAACAGTGAAGAGTAAGAGTCCCTTAACAGAGAGACTAGGTAAACAAGGAGCCAGAAACAAAGCAAGAAAACCAGCAGACCCTGATTCTTCTGCAGAGCCCCCTACCATTAAACATGGGTCCCATTTTTGCTCCTTGCTCAGAGCCTGTGTTGTAGCGACAAATGAGGAAAGATACCAAAGATAGCAGGAAACAGTTTTATTTGACTGCAGCCAGGTTCAAAGGGCACAGCTTTTGCTGTAATCAGTTAATCCTTTGAACCCCAAGTTCAGGTAGTTTCAGAATTTTATACCTAGCATGTAAGGGGAGGGGCAAAGAAGTTCACAGTCTGCAGAAGTTCACATAAAGGCAGGTTTTTCTTTCACTGTTCTGGGCAAGTTAACCCTTCAAGGACAACACCTGAGAAGGGGAGAGCTTCTTCTCTCTTTTCTTTCCTCCCCCTGCCAGCTGTTACCATGGAGCCCAATTGGTAATTTCTCTTATCTTAAAAATGTAGACATCCCTGTGAAGCTCAAGGCCAGAGGCCTTGTTTACACATTTCTATAAAGTACTATACCGGATACATATTTATAAAAAACTAGTAAGGGGGTGTCCAGTGCCTGGAGTGCTGATTTCTTCCCAGCCAGTGGCCAAGTAAGATAGGTCAACACAAAAATAGGAAGTTCACCTACATTGAACTCTTTTGTAGAGACTCGTTTGCTGATAGTCCTAAAATCAGCCAGGAGGAAGATTTCTGGAGAAGCCCAGTTAAGACTTTTCTGTGGAGAAAGGGGGTGCCACTACATCTGTGTGGCTGGACTTGAGGCTCATTTGGGAACTAATAGGGTTCAATGCCAAAGGGTAGGATGCCAAGCACTTCCTACTGGTCATGGTCACCTAGCTCTTCTGCATCTTGTACCTTGAAACAAGTGCAGTAGCATCCTTGGCGATATGTAACTACAAAAGGAGCAAAGCCATTCTTGGCAGCATCAGTGAAGACTAATTTTGAGTCTTCTCTCAGAGGCCAATGTTACTTAGATCACTGTGACTCCATTTTACCTTAACTATGTCATCAGTATTTAGCAGAAAGAGAGAATTGGTTGGAGACGAAAGATTATCAGTGATGTACTCCATTTCTGTCCCTGGGGGTATACCTAATTACACGAAAGTTAAAATTGCAAGACCATTACCAATATTATTATGTTTAATATGGAAGTATGAAAATATTTGAAGCTGCTGAGGGATATTTTTAATATAATGTTACTTATAAAAAAGTAACATTAAAAAGTGTGTAAGTACCATGTTTTATTTTTATTTTTATGGATTTTTTTTGGGGGGGGAGTACTGAGGATTGAACTCAGGAGTACTCAACCACTGAGCCACATCCCCAGTTTTGTTTTGTATTTTATTTAGAGACAGGGTCTCACCGAGTTGCTTAGCACCTTGCTATTGTCAAGGCTGGCTTTGTAACCAGCAATCCTCCAGTCTTAGCATACCATGTTTCAGAGACTTAGGACAGAGAATTTTTATTTTCCTAATTACCCAAGAGTTTTCTGAAACATTTTTCTTTGTCATTGATACATAATAATTGTACATATTTGTGGGGTACACATGATAATTCAATAATACTTCTTAAAAGATTGGTTTTTCAAAAAAATCACTATTCACTTATTCAAAAAATATTTAAGAGAGAACCTACTATGTTCTAGGCCCTAATATAGTGATCAGAAAAGGAAAATATATGTCTTTACAGGCTTTAATACTTTCCCTTTCAATGAAATAACTGTCCTGGATAGTATTTGTACAATTACAGCACTTATACAGTACTATCTGTGTGTCAGATATTTTTCTTGGCAATTTGTGTTTTCATTAATCCTTGAAAAAGCTAAATTTCAGGTAAATTCTGCTATCCTTTCTCTAAATAAGGTGACCAATAGCAAAAGAGGAAATTTAGAAGGTGTGTGATATTTCTTTGTCTTTCTGCTAGTCATTTTTTCATTCCTGTAACAAAATGCCTGAAATAAATCTACTTAACTGAGTCAAATGGTGGTTCTATTCCCAGTTTTCCAAGGAATCTCCCTACTGCTTTACATATTCGCTGCAACAATTTGCAGTCCAACCAGCAATGGAGTGTACCTTTATCCCCACATCTTCACCAACACTTATTGTTGTTTGTCTTCATAATAACTGCCTTTCTGACTAGAGTGAGATGAAATCTTAAAGTAGTTTTGATTTGCATTTCTCTAATTGCTAGAGATGATGAACATTTTTTCATATATTTGTTAATTGATTGTATATCCTCTTCTGAGAAGTGTCTGTTCATGTCCCTGGCCCATTTATTAATTGTGTTATTTGTTTTTTCAATGCTTAGCTTTTTGTGTTCTTTATATACCCCAGAGATTAGTGCTCTATCTGATGCGTAAGGAGTAAAAATTTGCTCCCAAAATATAGGCTCTCTATTCAACTCAAAGATTGTTTCTTTTGCTGAGAAGAAACTTTTTAGTTTGATTCCATCCCATTTATTGATTCTTGGTTTTAATTCTTGCGCTATAGGAGTCTTATTATGGAAGTTGGGGCTACTCCCACATGATGAAGATTAGGGCCTACTTTCTCTTCTATTAGATGCAGAGTCTCTGGTTTAAATCCTAAGTCCTTGATTCACTTTGAATTGAGTTTTGTGCATGGTGAGAGATAGGGGTTTAATTTCATTTTGTTGCTGTTTTCCCAACACCATTTGTAGAGGAGTCTATCTTTTCTCCAATGCATGTTTTTGGTGCCTTTGTCTAATACAAGATAATTGTAATTTTGTGGGTTAGCTCTGTGTCCTCTATTCTGTACCATTGTTCTACCAGTCTGTTTTGGTGCCAATACCATGCTGTTTTTGTTACTATTGCTCTGTGGTATAGTTTAAGGTCTGGTATAGTGATGTCACCTACTTCACTCTTCCTGCTAAGGATTGCTTTAGCTATTCTGGGTCTCTTATTTTTCCAGATGAATTTCATAATTGCCTTTTCTATTTCTATGAGGATGCCATTGGGATTTTAATCAGAATTGCATTAAATCTGCAAAGTGCTTTTGGTAGTATGGTCATTTTGATAATATTAATTCTGCCTATCCAAGAGCAAGGTAGATCTTTCCATCTTCTAAGGTCTTCTTTGACTTCTTTCTTTAGGGTTCTTTAGTTTTCATTATATAGATCTTTCACCTCTTTCATTAAGTTGATTCCCAAGTATTTTTTTTTTGAGGCTATTGTAAATAGGGTAGTTTTCCTCAGTTCCCTTTCTGAAGACTTGTCACTGATGTACAGGAATGTCTTTGACTTGTGGGTGTTGATTTTATATCCTGCTACTTTGCTGAATTCATTTACTAGTTCTAGAAGTTTTAAGGTGTAGTTTTCTGGGTCCTCGGTCTATACTCAAAGGACTTAAAAACAGCATACTACAGGAACATAGCCACATCAAAGTTAATAATATCACAATTCACAATAGCTAAGCTGTGGAACCAACCTAGATGCCCCTCAGAAGATAAATGGATTAAAAAAACATAGCATATATACACAATGGAACATTACTCAGCAATAAAAGAGAATAAAATCATGGCATTTGCAGATAAATGGATGGCATTGCTAAGTGAAGTTAGCCAATCCCCAAAAAGCAAATGCCAAATGTTTTCTCTGATATAAGGAGGCTGACCCATAATGGGAGGGAGAGCATGGGAGGAATAGAGGAAAGCTAGATAGGGCAGAGGGGTAGGAGGGGAAGGGAGGGGGCAGGGCATTAGCAATGATGGTGGAATGTGATAGACATCATTATCCAAAGTACATGTATGAAGATATGAATTGGTGTGAACATACTTTATATACAAACAGAGATATGAAAAGTTGTGTTCTATAAGTGTAATAAGAATTGTAATGCATTCCACTGTCGTGTATTTAAAAAATAAAATCAATTAAATATTTTTTAAAACCTAAAAAATAAAGAAATCTATTTAAGAAGAGGAAAAGTTTATATTGGCCCAGTTTAAGAGGTTTTAGTCCATAAATGAGCATATAATTGAGGAAGGTATACAGTAGAACAAACTGCTGAACTTTGGTGACTAGGAAGTGGCTCAGTGGTAGATCACTTACCTAATATATATGAGGCACTAGGTTTGATCCCCCAGTACTGCAAAATAGAGATCACACACAAACTGTGGAAATTCATATACATGGATGATCTTGATGTCATAGGGGTATATTCCAAGTCTTGGAGAATCCTAACCATTTGCTTTAGTTAATAGTTGTTTTCTTTTTCCTTGGCAGATGATCATTCCCGGGCTAGAGACAATAGAAGAAGACTTCAACTCAGACTATATCAATGGAAATTATATCAAAGTATGTATTTTGAAACTCTCAGTGAACTCAGCCATCCTAACACATACAGATTGTGTGTTTGCTATGACATGGGCAGACAAACCTCAGATACAAACTAAAAACAAATGTATTAATGTTGCCCCATGCCCCATACAACTTCACAGTAACTACACAGTCACTCCTTTTCTCAAATCAGCCTGTTCCTTGGTCAATTTCTCTGGCATTCTGTATACTGTCCCATGCTTACATAGACTAAGAATTTTTTTTCTTTCATTTTTTTTGTGAACAACTTGTAATTATTTGACATTTTTTAAAAAAAATTGTTTGCATATTAATGGAACAAATCTCTCTAATTCCTAATGCAGTAATTTGCGATCTCTTATCATCTGTGCACTTTTAAAGTTGCCTCAAAGTAGTCTGCAGCTGTTCACCAGGACTTCCAGCGCAAGCAAGACGTGTCATTAAATATGTAGGCTGTTTAATTATTGAAGATGGCTTCTTTGTTAATTTTGCATTATGTTAACTCAATGTTTTACAGTAGGATAAATTCTTTAGGAGACAGCCTGTTTTCAGTTGAAATGAGTGAAATCAAAAGTAGCCTGAAAAAATCAAGGGAAGGTTGGGATTCCCAAGTCTACATTAAACAGATTTCAGCTTCTTTGTGGTTCCAAAGATGTACTCTGTGCATAGCCATCACCTTATTTTTAAGTCCATCAGGAACAGGTTTTACCCATCATATGCAGGCTCAGCAACCCTAATCCTCAAATCCAAAACATTCCAAAATCTGCTGTCTTTTGAGCCCTTATACAACTCCACAGGTTGAAAATTTCATATTTGACTTCATATGACAGGTAATACCCAAAAATCAGCACTCAGAACCCAATTTGTTCAGTATCCCCAAGGGGAAAAAAAAAAAGACTCTCCTGTCCCCTTCAACTGTGATGCATGAACTTCGCTTCATGTAAAAAAACAAAACAAAACAAAACAAAAACAAAAGTGTTTGAAATACTGAATAAAATACTTCAGGCTATATGTATTATGTATATAGGAATCAAATGAATTTCATGTTTAGACTTTTATTGTCCCCAGATATCTTATTATGTATACATAAATATGCCAAAATTGGAAGCACTTGTGGTCCCAACATTCCTGGTAAGGGATGCTTAACCTTCATATGGATTCTTTTATATTCTGGGAATGAATAAGACTTGGGTGCTACTAAAAGTAACTAGCACCATAACCTCTAGTTGTTATCTAAAAATAATATATGAATGTTATTTTTAGCACTAATTGGAAAAGGTTGACATTTTAGTTATAGCTTGACAAATTCAGGTATAGATTTGTGGGTGGAGCTGGAGGGTCATTATTGAAAGAGTAATTCATATCTTATTCATCAAACAACCTTACACCATTTTGATAGTGGCCAAAATAATACTCACTCCAGTTTTGATTATTTTAAAATCAGAATTTCTTCATAAGCGTAATTGTACTTATTACTCTGTTCATGTCCAAAACCTGTCACTCTTCTCCCCACGGCCTCATAATGTAGAAGCTGAAAAATGAAATGTCTTCTCCAGTTCCCCTCACCACCAGGTCAACTAACTATAATATACCTTCCCCTGGGGCTTCCAGTGAACACTGTTCACCTTCTAGTCCCAGCTACTGTGGTCTCTGTTGGGTCCTCGAGCATAGAGCACATTGTCCTAGTCGCCTGGAATATGCCTGAAATATGCCTGAAATATATTGAACACTTAAGTGTTTGATGAGTCATTGACTGAAGGAGTCTATAGGATCAGAGTAGGCATCTAGAAGAGGTCACTTGAATTGAGCTTGAAACAGTGGGTGGGTAGAGATACAGAAGAGAAAACCTTCTAGCTCAAGGAAATAATATGAGCAAGACTATATAAATAATTAAAATACCTGATGAATGAGTGTTAATTTTATTTTGACAGAGAGGAGAGTAATTACTCAAGGACCTCTTTATTCACTTGGTCATGCAAATCTCATTGAGCACCTGTGATGTGTTGGTTACTTAATGGGCACTAGAGCTATAGCTGTGAACAATTCAGATTTAAAACAACTAGCTCAATGAGGTGGTGTGTGTGTATGACCTCATTTAAACCAGCTGAAAGAGGTGGTGCTGTTATGCCGAGTCCCTCTAGAAAGCACTCCAAGGTCAAATTTCAAAAGAGAGTTTTATTTACCTGGTCAGGGACTATCATCCACTGCTGATACTCAAGCTTATCGTAATGTAAGCTAGCCAATCACAGAAATTAAAACAATAATAAGTGGGACTTGTGGGCTGTAGGCAGGACTGGAATTTTCCAGTCAGCAAGCAAGCGATAAACAGAAGCTTTTTTAAGCATTAGCTTTGCAGTTCAGTTGACCACAGTCCTGGGTTCAAGCAGGTGATAGACAGTTGCATCCTGAATTTGGGCAGGGGTCATCAGGGTGAAAATCTACTTCAAAGTCATGTAGATACACAAGGGCATTCAAACCCAATGACCATCGTTGCATCCTAAGTAGGGTACAATTGGTGGGGTACAAAGTACAGAAAGACAATTTTTTTATAAGACAACAGCTTTCATTTCAGTTTCTCAGAAACAGCTCTTGTAATATTTTTTTCTATAGAAGGCAGCAAAATGGATTCTCAGGCCTTTCTATGACAGTTCTTGCTTTATAATTGTCTTATCTCACTTATCAAAGTCTTCTATCTGTAATCTATATTTCTAGTAATCTATAACCTATAACTTACACTCTTATTGATTATATTTATCAGCTCACACCACTATAGTGCATATCTATAATCCCAGTTATTCAGGAAGCTATGTCTGGAGGATCACAAGTTCAAGGCCAGCTTCATCAACTTTGCAAGACCCTGTCTCAAAATAAAAAAATAAAAAGGACTGGGTGTGTAACTCAGTGGTAGAGTGCTCCTGGGTCCAATCCCCAGTACCACAAAAGCAAAAACAACAACAAATATAATCTGCTGGACATAGTGGTGCACACTTGTAATCATAGTGGCTCAGGAGGCTGATCAAAAAATTAAAGCCAGCCTCAGCCACTTAGCAAGGACCTAAGAAACTTAGACCCTGTGTCTAAATATAAAAGAATAAAAAACAAGAAGGGCTGGGAATGTGGCTCAGTGGTAAAGCACCCCAAAATAATAATAACAAGAACACTAATAGTAATAACATTCTGATCTAATGGGGCTGAAGTTCTAATTAGAAGAAATGACAATAAGTAAAACAAGTTAATTCTGTGTGGTATGTTAGAAGGTAGTGTGTACTATGGGGGAAACTAAAGCCATTAGGAGACGTAGGAGTGTTAGGCTTGGAGGTGAACTGCAGTCAGTGTGAAGGTGACATTGGACAAAAGCATATGAGGGGTGGATCCATGTAGATATCAGGGAAAATCAGTCTGAGCAAAAGGCTTGTTATAGAGCTTACCTAACTCATCTGAAGAAAAATGAGCAGCAGGTGTTGGTGGAGTGGTGTGTGGGGCGACTGGGGAATAAGGAGGAAATGAAGCGAGAGGCCATGGAGCCAAGTAATAGAAATGATGGCAAGACCTTTGGCTTTCAGTGTGCAAGATGGGAGTGATTTGATGGATCTGAGCAGAGGTCTGACTGCAGAGAGGAGAACAAACTGTAGGTGGGTAGGAGCCGGAGCAAGGAGACCTGCTGGATGACTGTGGAAGTAATCCAAAGGGAGTGGACAGGGAGAAATGGGATCCTGGGTCTATACTGAGGGCTGAGCCCATGGGATTTGCTGGCAGATTGGCCAAGGGTGTGGGAGGTAGAAAGGGGTCAGGAATTCCTATAAGAGATGGGATTGCTGTTTTCTCAGAAGTCTCTGGGTGGAGCAGGTTTGGGTAGGTCTTAGAGAAGAAATGAGTTCAATTTTACACATGTTAAGGTGTAATATACATTAGACATTGACATGGAGTGTTCATCAGGTAACTGATCCACATCCAGATTTCAAGGAAAAGTTCTGGTTTAGAAATAAGAATATAGAATTCATCAGGATGCGGATGGTATTGAAGGCCATGAGACAGGATCAGATGACCAGGAGAGTGAGGATAGACAAAGGAAAATCCAAGAACTAGACATTCCAACATCAAGGGGAAAGGAAGAACCTTCCAGCAAAATAGAATACAAGTAGCCAAGGAGGAAGGATGGAGGAAAACCAGCAGAGTCCTGTTCTGGAAGCAAGTGAAGGAAGTATTTTAAGGTGGATCCTTAGTATTTATGCAACTGATGGTTCAAGTAAATGAGGATTGGGAAATGACCATGATGTTTAGGAACATAGTCCATTCCTGGATGGTGCATGCCCACAGTTTATCAGATGTGTTTTTCCTATCTGCTAGACACCTTGCTAGGCATTGGACCTAGAGAGTGAATAAGTCAGATGGAGTAATTGCCTTGTGGGACTTTGTCAGCTACTGGGAAATGAGTGTCTATATAGGTAACGATTCTGTAATTTGAAATATACAGCCAGTGAGATGTATAAAAGAAATGTTTGCTTTTGTTTTTCATTGTTGTGTTTTTTGTTTTTACAACACTAATTTTACAGGTACAACTTTAAGTTGTCTGAGAAATCCGTATACTCTCCAAGTTTCTTTTTTCTGTGTTCCAGCTAACTTTGGGCATAGTACTTGGGGTCTGAAATGGAAAGCATTAAGTCCATGATGATATAATATGTTCCTGGGTATAATGTTCTCTGACTTGGCTTTGTCTTTCCCAGATACCTATCCTACAATTTCTTTGCTACCTGCTTTCTTTGGCCCCAGCTTTCATCTTACTTGTTTCTTACATGGTCTCGATAAAAGGAAGAGGTCTTGCAGAATTTCTGTTTCTTGAAATTCCTGGTCCTTTGTACAGCATCATGTCCTGGTACTAACAGTGTTTAAGAATGGTTTTGAATATTAGTATTGATGGAACTGTCTATTCTACCATAATGGACTATGTGTTAAGCCCTTGGCACATTGCCAGTAACATCCCAAACACAAATGAAATTCTA